CTTGCTTCACTTGTATCTTAAGTTGTGGACTGTCCAAGGCATCTATGAACTGATCCCTCAGCAACAACTTGAAGAGATCGGATGGTGCAATTTGTTACGCCTCCAGTCGTTAGTTAATTTTCCGTAAATTCGTTCCGACGAAACTTTAGCGACACAAGTCCTTTCTTAAATAAAACTGGTTTATTCTTTCTGAATATAACTTTGCGATACACTTAATTTCAACAGCCGCACTATAACAAACATCTCACGTGCTCAAGTTCAATTACACACTCTCTGACTGCAGTTCAATTACTCATTACCTACACACTGTCCCGTCACGTTGTGACCATCTTATATATACCAGACTACCCCCAATCTAGTAATCTCCCGACAATTCACGAAGGTTCGAGAAAGAAGTGGCGTGATACTAGTCACGTGACCTCGCTGACGCAACAATAGGATAAGTCCACTGAATAACAGGAGCTCCAGATACATTACAGATATACCTGATTTCATGAGAATGAAATAAAGACACTGAACACAATTTAAAATACAAAAAAATACAATCTTTACTATAACAGCAAACACATAGTGGGTGTACTTGCTTATGGTGGACTGCTGCTTTTACTAGATCAGAACTATTCTCTCTTCAACCTTTACTTGATGAAAACACCTATCAGATGTTTAAATTCAGTATTATTTACTTCACAAGTGATGTCAGATTTACTCAGAGCAACTAGTGCTACCCATGTGATTGGTTCTATTTATTCAAACATAAGGGAGGCTGTAATCTTGTGATAACGTCTGACCTACCATTGGAAGACACTGTTGCCTACATTCTTGCATACAATGCAGCATTAGACCATTCTTCTCATAGACAGAACAGACTCAGTCAACATGAATTCAAAAAGTGATGTCTATTTTCAAAAGAAGCTATAAGTGTTTCATTCTAATCAATAAACAAACTCTTAAACCATTTCAATTCGAAGAATTTGTGGTTTTAAAATTAATTAAAAAAATGTACATTATTTATATTAATCATGAAAATAATCAAAAAATTTAAATGGGGGATTTTTATCATTCAGAATATTAAAATGTGTTCTGTCATAATTTATACCCAATGTGTGAGAAAATTGGAACAAGTATAATAACAGCCAGCATGATTTATAATGACTTACCTTTTAATTCCTGTGAAGCTATTTTCATTAAAACATATTTCAAATTTTCCTTTCTTATAGTTTTCTTCAACCAAGCTTGATTATATTAACCACTAAGTACTCAATTTTCACATGCACTCTTAGACCCCAAATAGCCATTAAGTAAATAAAAAGTCATGTAATGTTAAATTCTGTTTATTTCAAGTATAAACTGACTGAAATATTGATTTTTTTTCAAAACATTATATTTATTATTGAAGTATGAAATCAGTTAGACATAATAAGGAATGGCTTATCATGTTCCTTTCTATAAAGTGTATTGGAATATATTGGGTATCTATAAACTGTCATCAAACATGTAGATTTGAAATATTTTTTTGGATGATTCTCTTTCAATGTTTGAAATAGATTACAAAATTTATCCAAGTTTACTCTTGAGAATTGTACTAATCTAATCAGAGTGTGAAATTTACTACAATTATTTGCTTTCAAGTGCTGCTATAATTTATTTGTTACATGAAAATAATGATAAATCGGGACCTATAGCTTTAGAAAATAATTTTACCTTTATCTCATGGGTTATATGATTATACCACCGACAGATATGCCTATCTGCATAAAAATTTTATTATTTAGTTTACTAATCTAAGTCAGACCTCAAAACCTATATATTCATGTAACACAGTTATATTATTACCATGCAAAATACCTAAAGAATAAAACTGACAGCAAATTCATTACCAATATTTGTTAGATGATAAAAAGCTGTTCTAAAAGCTTTACACTTGGACTACCATGACTGAGAATGGTGAAAAGTACATCATTAGAGTAGAGCAGGATGTGAGTGGATTTCACCAGAGTCTCTATGGGACTGAGTAACATGCAGTGGATACAAACCGATGGAGACTGTCAAGTGTAATATCTGGAACATGTATGATTATGTGGGGTTCATTGCAACTTAGGAAGTAAAAGTAATTTTACAATTTTTGAAAAAACATTTAGTTCTTCATTCCTTTCCAAGTAAACCAACCAGAGAAAAAAAATGTGTGGACCTAATAGGTTGGGATCCATATGGACCCCACATGAGTACTTACATTGCACTATACGTCCCAGCTGCAGTGAAAGGGTTAAGTAACTGAATTAAACTTGGTCTATTATTGCTATGATTACATTAAAAGCCTGATATTTGTAAGAAAAAATTCACAACTGGAAACTACTTAAATCTCAGTTGAAATTTATCCAGTATGTACATTCATCTTCGAAAAAACTAAAGAATCTTGGGATAACATATTGTTGCGTCAGCGAGGTCACGTGACTAGTATCACGCAACGTCCTTCTAGAAATATCCTGTTCCTTCATGAATGCTCTAGCGTTTACTAGATATGTGTTAGTCTAGTATATATAAGACGGTCACAAAGTGACGGGAACAATGTGTGTAATTGAACGGAGTATTGTTGAGTCGAGCACGT